TCTCTCTCTCTCTCTCTCTCTCTCTCTCACACACACACACACACACACACACACACACACACACACACACACACATTCCATCGATAGGATGAGCAGAAACGGACTGAATCTTCCGCTGAAACGTGGAAATATACACTGCCACGTTTTTAGCAAAATCGGAATGAATCGTTCGTGTGTGTGTGTGTGTGTGTGTGTGTGTGTGTGTGAGAGAGAGAGAGAGAGAGAGACGATCCTCTCCCACACCCCGCTTCTCTTTTTGCATGCGCGTCCCTCCCACGTCCCGCGCACAGCTGCCTTCCCCGCCCGCTTACCTGCTAGCACACCGGTCTGCCCCCGACCGCCGTCGACACTTCGGACTTCTCCACCCTTCGCGCGCGCACGCAGCCCGCTTCCACTTTCGCACGCGCAGAATCCCCTACGCGCCTGCCACCCACCCGCCACGCACAACGGCCTGCTAGCGTCCCCGCGGGCCTCTCCTCCGCTTTTGAAAAGTGTATTTCCAAACCCTTGATCGTCTTCTTCACAGTCCTTCATTGCTATCTCATTTCGGTTGCTATCATTGATTTGAGCCTCATCAGTGCAAGTGTGAGCTTCTGAAGTTGGGTTCATCCAAGTAGTCACGTGTTTTCGTTCTTTATTGCTCCTTAGTTCATACCCCAGTTCAGTGTATTCTTTATTCTCCAGTCTTTAGTTTGTACCCCAATTTATAGTTCAGAGGCCACATATACTTCGTACTCCGTTTTTCTTTCAATAGATCGTTTTCCTTCCTGTACTAGTGCTCTCCTTCTCTCAAAATGGCCCTCTCTGCCAAGACAGAACCCATATTTGCTATTTTATTGAACTTTGAAATCATTGAAATTCTGTTTTATTGGCACCAGGTTATCGCACTTGGCGGTCTGCATGTTATTGGAACGGAAAGGCATGAATCACGACGAATTGACAATCAGGTATGGTCTTATTCCTGCAGTTGGAAATGAGCCTGTTACCTGGTCCTCCCCACCATTCTATTCTGATTTTTTGTTGTTGTTTTTTGAAAAATTTTCCCCCTTTTCTTAAGTTTATTTTTTTTCTTCTTATTTTCCCTTTTTTTTTTTTGGCTGGGGAGTCTGTGGGGACACTCTCAGCGGAAACTGAAGTTGCAAGCACCATGAACTCTCTCAGCGAGGGGATGGCACATTATTCAAGATGGCGACGGCGGCCAGAGCAATGACACGGCGATGAAGGGACCTTAGCAACTGGCGGAGCTTGAAAGCCCCCCCCCATGGCAGGGCCCCACCCTTTGTATGGGCGGGCTTTGGATGTCGTTGATATCTGGGCTATCAAACTTTGCAAATCGATGGCCCAGATGGCACCGTTTCCAAAAGGACAAACCGGCCCTTGATTTTCTTTTCTTTTCCAGCAGACCATTTGCACAAGAGGGCCATGGACGCGAGGGACTGAAATGGGACCCTTGATAGTTCGAATTTCCACAGTTTGGCCCGGTGGCCTGCCTAAAGGATTGGTCTGACCGTCCCAACCAAGCAGGTCCTGTGCTGGCCTGAGGCGCCCAGGAAGCCTAGGAGATAACCCAGATATTTTTGGATAGTGGATAAGGCAGGTATTTGGTAGCAATGTGTGAACACTGTGAGCCACTCACCGTGTCTGCGTTAATGTTGGCGAAGAAGAAGAAGAAGAAGACCTTGAAATGAATTGGGATTTGGAAAGCAAAGTGGCTGACTTGTTGTTTGTGTGATTGGTTGTCACGTGTGGTGCAATGATTTTATACCTGAAACAAAAGCTGCGTGGAAGAAGTGGAAGGCAAGGGGATCCTGGAAGCACTCGGTATTTCTTGAGCTTGGAGGACAATCTGTTCAGAATATTTGGAGGTGACAAAGTTCAGGTGTGTTTGTTGTAATCATCGACATCATCATCATTGTCGTCGTCTTCTTCTTCTTCTTCTTCTTCTTCTTCTTCTTCTTCTTCTTCTTCTTCTTCTTCTTCTTCAAACGTCCCACAACTCTTAAGGCCTTCTTCTGAGAGAAGCGGTCAACAGAAGCACTAAATAGCATACTTGCGGCGCCCTGGTGCGGTGCGCTGTGCGGTGCGGTGCGCTGCGCGCAGTGCGGCCAAGTTTCGGTGAGCGCGCTGTGCGCCGTGCGCTGTGCGCCATGTGCTGTGCGCCATGCGCTGCGCGCACTTGTGCGCTGTGCGCTGTGCGCACAGGGCCTCGGGACCTGTGTGCACAGTGCGCCGATTCAGTAAAGGAGGAGGAGGATCTGCCACATGGCACGTTAACATAAGAGGACGAAGAGGAGGAGGAGGAGGAGGAAGAAGATGAGGAGGAGGAGGAGGAGGAGGAGGAGGAGGAGGAGGAGGAAGAAGATGAGGAGGAATAGGAGGAGGAGGAGGAGGAAGAGGAGGAGGANCTCTCTCTCTCTGTGTTTGGTCAAGCATTGTCAGCGACGCTTAACCGCCTAACCTCTTTAACTCTATGATTCCCCCGCCCTCTGTATGATTCCTTCCTCCTCCTCTGCCCACACTCCGTGATGGCTGCGCTTTGAAGGTGGCTCCATGAGAGTCCGGCCCGATCTGGAAGACTCTACTGGGTCCAAAAGATGGCGGAAGTACTTTTTGGGGTGTGGCAGAGGCCCAAACAATGGATCTGACTGGGCCGTTTTCACTTTTGGGGGGCCCATCTGGACGTACGTGACTGGACATCTGAGTAGGGCATGCAGACCCAGTTGGCTCTAATTGCGATCTGGACATCTGAATCGTAACCATTAAACAAAGATTATATTATGAATATCTAAGATGTAATTAATAGGCCATAGAATGTGCTGAAAGGATATCATGTGTCAGTCGAGTCCTGTGTGCGGTCCCAGATGTCCCACGTTCCAGAGTCCCATGTGTCAAACTGGCAGGCCCTGAGGCCGAAATGCCGTGTCAAGATCCAGTAGGCCGGTAGGAGTCTGTAGGTAGGTCGAAGTCCACCGGGTCGGCAGGAACTGATACCTGACTGAAGCCCCAATCCAAAACTACCGGTAGCGGCAGCATCCAGGGAAAGTCCGGAAACTTCTGGAACAGACAACATGCGGTCAACAGGCCCTGGGGCCGTTACTGGTCCGAAGCAGACAAAGATTGTCAATTGCAGCGGCTACACAAGGTTACTAAAGTACCTGGGGCGTTACTTGTTCATTCGTATGTTGCGGAAGCACTGCAGTTTGGTTGTGCGACATTTTGAGTGAGACTTGTCGGGCAAACTGGAGTCGTCATCAGGCACTGTGCACCTTAGCTAGCTTGGGTGACGAGGAAGGGAGACAGTTGTAGTCAGGAGGGAGAGTGAGGAGAGAGTGAGCACCGAGAGTATTCAGTGAGAGGGAGAGATACAAGTCCAGCCACACACACGGTGCGTTCTTGCTGGAGGAGTCTTCTGTCTTAGGTAAGTTGTCTCTTATGTTCTTCCTCCTCTTTAGCAGTGACGCGAGTGTGTAGTTTGAGATGAATGTCGGGAATGCCAATTCTGTTATATTTGTTTGTTTTCGATAAATGAGTTTTTGGTTTTGTGGGCGGACGCTCTCCAAGTTTTTTCGGACCTTTGAGGGAGTCGGGTCGGTGCCTTCTTGTTGGGTTAGTCTTCTGTCTTAGGTAAGTTGCCTTCTGCCCTCCATCCCCTCATGGTTTGAAATGCATATGTAGTATGTACACAGACGGGTGTGTGGGCACTTGGCGCTGAACTAGACAAACGTGGCTTCTATTATATTGCCTATGTATGCTTTTTCGTCATGGATGGCTTGTGATGATTTGTGAAGGGAATGAGTGAGAGAATCTGGGGTCTTTTATAACAACTCACACACACACACACACACACACACACACACACACACACACACACACACACACACACACACACACACACACACACACACACA